CATATGTGTGAAACACAGTTCAGCAGAACAAAAGCCTTGGGCACAGAGTGCAGGAAACTCAGTTATTATGAAGCCCTATTTGTAGGTATTTAGGACTGAAGGAGAAGCCAGAGTTAGAATGAGGAAATAGACTGATTTTTATTTTTTTTCTAAATGCATTTGATGTATCAGTGTAAAAGCAGGTCGTCATAAAATCATGAGATGACTTGGGTTGGAAAGGACCTTAAAGATTGTCTAAATTCAATGCCCCCACTCACAGAAAGGGATGCTGCCCACCAGACCACGTCTTATCTAATACAACCTTTTTTTTTTCCCTTCTATTTTAGAGGAAGTATCTCAGTATGTAGGTACATTTAGCGATTTCAATCCTGTGTTGGACTTTGACTTTATATTCAACACCTGAGCATTCACAGCTCTTGGTGAAGTGCCTCATGTTTTGATGCAGGAGAGCTTGAGGGTAGGGTGCCATTCTTGGGTCAGATGTGCTTTTTCCAGCATTCTTACAAAAGAATGCAAAAAATTACACCTAAGCTCAACTCGAGCACATGAGTAACACCAGGGGATTACTCAATGTCTGATTTCAAGACTTTGAATCACTGAGGCTTTAACTACCACAATGGCAACTGCAAAATGTCACAGCCCCAACCACTGCCGTGTCCACACAATGCCGCTCTTTTCTTTCCCCTGTTAAGAATAGATTTGCTCATTCATATTGCAAATAAAGAAACATCTTTGGGCCACAATCTGCAAACAGCGAAGTCATTAAACAACTGACTTCAGTCCACATGAGCAATGTTATTTGCCTGAACAGTAAAAGCAAAACCAGAGCCTTGGTGAGCAACCCACCAGGATCACAGGGTGACAGCGCCTCAGCTGATGGTTTGTAAGTTCAGGACACAAATGAAGACGTTAATGCGTAGGTGTCCAGACAAATGGGTCTGTGGGTATTTACTCATAATAAAAATAATTGAATATTTTTCCCAAATAGACTACTCAGCAAATATCATTGAAGCACATGACGAAAATGTCTCCTTTTCTACCAGGTCTAAATGAGATACGAGCCTTTGGATGTTTAGTTGACAAATAATGCAGGTATAAGAATCTGAAAATCCTGTACAGTGCATGTGGAGTCCACTGGCTCTAGACATACATCCACAATCTGGAGTTGTGCAGCCTGAAATAAACACAGCTGTGTTTATCTGAATGTGTGATCCCATGTACATGGGAGAAAGTTCAAATAAATGCACTCTGTACAACGATGCTCTAAATGCAGCAACTGCATTTGTCAGATGTGTGATGATGCAATCTCTTAAATAAACAGAATGAGCTGTTTGTTTGAATCCTGAGCTGCAGACGTAAAAATATATGTACATTAATCAAAGCCAATGAAATGAAATCCAAAACAGCTAGATCTGAACCTTAGCTGAAAATTTGCTTCTTGTCCTTATACCCAGAATAAACTTCTGTGTGTTGGTATTAAGCGTATGGTGTAATTTTTAGACAGTGAGAGATTAAGGGAATAGATAAACATCATTTTTGGGTTTAGTGGACCAGTCCTGTTTTTCCAAAGAGGGCCCATTGTCTAAGACAAACTCTAGAAATGCATAGAATCTTAGAATGGGTTGGTTTGGAAGGGACCTTGAAGACCATCTCCTTTCAGTCATCTTCCACTAGACCAGTAGACTCCAATCCTTGTCCAACCTGACCTAGAATACTTCCAGGCATGGGACATCCACAACTTCTCTGGACAAACCCTAGGAATATCTCACCACCATCTGAGTAAAGAATTTTTTCCTAAGAGAAAGAAATGGTGGGATATCCCAAATTTTTCATCTTATCAACCAAAGCAATATTTTTATTTTACAGCCAAAATATCTTTATTTGGGATGTGTGGCCTGCTCAGTTCTCAAAAGAACCAACAGTCTGAGGGATAAGTTTTTGATGGGCTGAAGAATATGTGAAGGAAAAAGCAAAACTGAATGAATGTAGATGCTATCAAAGCTGTTGTTTTACTCAGAGTTAACATTGGCTCAGCGTTTCACTATAAACTCATTCAGAACAGCAAGTTACTGGAAAAAATCCTCCACTTGAGAAATATGCAATAGTTACTGATGAGTCAGAAGTTGGAAGTAGTGACACCACCACACACTATTAAAAAGTCCTACTTTCCAATACTGTCTGACTGCTCTGCAACCCAAAATAACATCACAGCAGAAGCACTGTAAAGCTTTTTTCATTTGTCTTAAGCATATTCCCTTGGAAAACACGAGCTGTGCAAATGGTCTTAAGAATGGTTACTGTGGAATTAGACCATCAAATTTCTTGACTTATGTGCTTTAAAATCTTGCCCAAAAGATGGCACTAACATTGTTTTTAGTAACATATATTGAATATAGATTTAATTCTTCCCCCATGTAAAAAGCATCTTCAAACTGGTCACAAATATATGTTGGAAGAACGTGCTTAATGTGCACTACTATGCCAGCTGACAATTGCTGTA